CTTTAAACACGTACAAACGATTTTGTATTGTATAGGCAAACGAATGGCTCGCTGGATACTCGCTAACTTTATAGTAGTAAACCGAATAGTGGCACGTTAAAACAATCCAGTCCAATCGTTTAATCCGCCGCTTTAAGCAGTCCCCGTTGATTTCCTTGTGCTTTCCAAACTCCACTTTTTCAAACTGGTTATTTCAGCTATGCGTATTTCAGGGAAACTACCGGTATGCAATTCCCAGAGAAAATACCATCGAACCTACCAACACATTTCGTTCTCGTCTTTTCTCTATTCTCCTCTCTCTCTGTACCTCTTAATTTACCGAGCGCTATTTTCTGACCCAAAATTGTTTCCACAGGATTATCCCTTTCGTTAACGAACGTTCTTACGTTTGCGCAAAAAATCCAGCCGCGCGTTAAGTCTCATTACTCGTTATTGGAGAAGTTTTTCTAAAATTTTCGAGCAAGAAATAAGTTGCAGGTTCTTCTTGCTCGAAGAACGCCCGCTGTACGTTAGGAACGTTAATAGCAACATTCTGTAGATGAATTTTCGGTTCGCTGGTTCATGGAAATCCTTCTTAACGCTCTTGGATGACGACGCATGACGTGTTCCCGACACAAAACTGGCTCGGCGTATATAGAATGCGAAAGGAAGAAAAAGATGGAGAGAAGCGTCGCAAAATTCTGATATCACCGATCAGCGATTATCATCATCGCGCTTCTGATCGCTTTGACCCGTCGCGTGTAAAATTGCACCCCGACGCGCACGGGGGGAATAAAAAAACAAGTGAACGTGGGCGAGAAGACACTTCGTGGAAAGGCGAAAACATGCTTGTTGTTGCTGCTACGATTTACGATGGCACTTAAAGCAGTCCCCTTGTCCTCTCTGCCGCTCTCTTTACCCATTATTTTTTATATACATATACATACGTGACGTACAGTTTCAAACGCTGCGATTCATACTCTGAGAGACAACAAAGTACTTACAAAAGCATATCGAGAATGAACAAGGAATGCGGGCATGTTCTTTTTTCGCAACTTCTTTGTTTAGGATAACGGATATATGTTGATTCACTCTAGTCGGTTTCCTATCTGTGCTTCACATTACTTTGGATTGTTCCATTTCTAATGTGAAAGATATTATTCGCAATGAGAGGAATTGGCGGACGAGATCGATACAGAAATTTGTTCTCGTAGTTGCTTGACGAGGTCTCATTGTTCCAGGGACCGTGAAGATGAATTCAAGCGGGGAGTCGGGCGGCACGATGACCGAGGACTATGAGATGTCAGGTTGCGGTCCGCCGGAGGAGGAAACAGGATCAAATCTACCGATTTGGGAAGCCGCGGCCGCTTCTTTAACGCTCGGTTTCCTCGTCTTGGCCACGGTGTTGGGCAACGCGTTGGTGATCCTGAGCGTTTTCACCTATCGACCGCTGCGCATCGTCCAAAACTTCTTCATCGTATCGCTAGCCGTTGCCGATCTTGCCGTGGCGATCCTCGTGATGCCTTTCAACGTTGCTTATCTTCTTCTCGGCAAGTGGATCTTTGGCATACACCTATGCAAACTGTGGTTGACTTGCGACGTTCTTTGCTGTACTGCCAGCATTTTAAATCTGTGCGCGATCGCATTGGATCGTTACTGGGCGATCACAGATCCGATAAACTACGCCCAGAAACGAACCCTGAAACGGGTCCTAGCGACGATAGCAGGCGTTTGGATCCTATCGGGTGCTATAAGCTCGCCGCCTCTCGCCGGTTGGAACGACTGGCCCGAAGAACTGGAACCGGGAACTCCTTGCCAATTGACCAGGAGACAGGGTTACGTTATCTACTCGTCCCTGGGTTCATTCTTCATACCCCTTTTATTAATGAGCCTCGTGTACCTGGAAATATTTCTAGCGACCAGGAGAAGGTTGAGGGAACGAGCAAGACAGAGTAGATTGAATGCGGTCCAATCGACCAGACACCGCGAGGCGGACGATGCGGAGGAGTCCGTCAGTTCGGAGACGAACCACAACGAGAGATCGACTCCGAGGTTGCACGCGAAACCGTCGCTGATCGACGACGAACCGACGGAGGTGACGATAGGAGGCGGCGGAATGTCGGTCACCACCTCGTCGAGGAGAAACGCCGGCGGTGGAACCGCCGCGACGACGACCACGGTTTATCAGTTCATCGAGGAGAGGCAGAGGATCTCATTGTCGAAGGAGAGACGAGCCGCGAGGACGCTGGGCGTGATTATGGGCGTGTTCGTAGTCTGCTGGTTACCATTCTTTCTAATGTACGTGATCGTGCCGTTTTGTCCGGCCTGCTGCCCATCCGATCGCATGGTCTATTTCATAACGTGGCTCGGTTACGTAAACAGCGCCTTGAACCCGCTCATCTACACGATATTCAACCTCGATTACAGGAGAGCGTTCAGAAGGTTGCTGCGTATTCGTTGAATGAGAGACGTCGCGCCGCGTCGGCTTGGTTTCGGTTCCCGTTTTTTCGAAACTCGTCCTTTCGCTAGAAGACGACGGTAAAGCTCTTCGATCCGCCTTGGGATTGGTCGTCGAAGAAGGATGTTACTTAGAAAACATCGATAATCGTTACTCGTCAAAGTTAGTCGACTGTTTCAGGTTGGTAGGATATCGTTTTCAGCCTCGATTATGTTCCGCGAAAAAATTCAAAGGCTTTCAAGATTTTACCACACCGTCTGGTAATAAATCGGATTTGGGTGTTTCTTACATTCACGTTAGGAAATACATACATTATACAAATGCATCGTACAAATAGGTCGTGCATAATTTATGGAGTCTGAATCATTTCCAATGGATCTATGTCACAGAAACGAGATAATGAGAAATTCAATCATGGAGAGTGTATTGTTTTACCAAGAATTGAGAAAAAAACTAGTAACGGTTGTATGATTAGTTTGATTTCTAAATGATCTTTACAATAACGAGATTCGTCGCGTATACAGTGCATTGAGAAGATTTATAGATTCAAGATTAATTTCGATGGAACGAACGCAGAGATCGATCTCATACGGGATGTGGGATAACGAGAGGAAGCAGCTGTAAGTGCGAATAGCCTTGTTGAAGATTAAGCGACGAAACAGCATGCGCGATAGTCTAATTTCGCGGCAGTATTCTCGCAGAAGGTCGTTCCATTAAAGTTGTTCCATTAATCCCGTAAAGTGAGCCGAGGAAACAAACCCGAGGATAAGGGATCTTAAGGAAATGAGGTCCAACCGTGCTCAGGTTGGATCTCATCGTTCTGCCCGACCACTCAATCGTTTCGTTTCAGGCGGCGCGGCGCGGCGTGGACGTTGAAGACCCACCTCGGGTTTGGAGCCTTAAGAACCCGCTTAAACTAAATTTGGCGATTCGACGAGGTTGAGCGATATGCTTGATTCAATGAACTTGAAAGGAAAATGAACAGTGAATTTCGAACTCGATAGCTCTTGAATTTCATTGAACAAATTTCATTTCATTCAACCATACTGTACCACCAGATTGAAATTGAATGGTACTGAATGTGCATTCACCTTAATTGAACATCTTGATTTATAGTTAATTTGCATCGTTCACATTTAGATCGATCAAGTCCTGTTGCTCGATCGAAATTAACCGCGAATTCGATCCCACATTTGCTCGTTCGATCATACAGAAGGAAAGAACAGGTTCTTGATCGCGCGCATCAGAGAATTAGGAGTGTCACGAAAAGTTTCTCTCACTTGTATGTACTAGGTCCTCGAGTCGATCGTTCCACTTTTCCACGAGAGCTTCGTGAAATATCGCTCCCCGGAGTGCAGAAGGAATTCGCGCACATTCCTGATGAATCGGCGGCGAACGTTGGAACCTATAGAGAGTAGAGTTTTTCAAATTTTCCTCGCGAGGGCTTCTTCGTTATTCCCTGCGGATGAGAGCGGAATCGTAAATACGCTTTGGAGTTCCTTTCTTCCGATTTTGCGACACTTCGCAAAGGAGATTAGTGGAGAAAGAGAGAGAAATGGTGTGCGTCTTCTCGGCCAATCTCAGACGGACGAAGTGAGAACAAATCAACGTTTACGGATAGGAATTTTCTACGAAATCGACCAAAAAGCTCCAAGTTAAGACGCATTTAGAGAATAGGATTTTAACGTATCCTAGATGGTACACGCGCACGTATTGTATTTGCATCGTACCGTTAACGAGAGATCGTGACGCGAGATGGATACACGCGATCTCGTTCGACGTTCTCAGTCCCTTGGGTTACGATTACACTGTACACTAATGTGTTTGTCCGACTTCATAAATATGGAAATATGGAAGATTTTCAATATACATGAAATACACTACACATTATTAAATGAATTGTAAAGAACGATTTGTAACACTGATTCTAAACTTGAATTTGATTCGTGTACACAAACGTAACGCGACCATGAAGGTTTCGCGATCAAGAACCCTTACAGGGAACTTGTTTACTTTTAAAAGGTAGATCTCGGACAAACAAATTGGCGTTCACTGTTAACCGTAGCCTTAATAGCGAAAACCCGAGAATTAGGAGATTCATTAGTGGAACAATGGAGAGAATTACCCTCCTCCTGATGGCCGATGATCGTTCTTACTCAGGTAGTGAAAAGAACGTTCCCTTTGAAGCCGACTATATTTGTCTGGACGATGTTCTACCTTAGTTTCGCTCAAAGGGTTTATCTGTTAAAACGTTTCCGAAATGTCACGCTGGAAAGCTGGATATTCGATGGTTACAGAGTCAATTGTAATCTTTTCCTCGACGAATCGATACCTTTTCTAGCGGAGTCAAGGTACAATAGCTTCTTCTTTCAGAGGTGAAACGCCTTTGATCGTCAATTTTCCTACGGTGATACTTTACTGTAATCATATAACTTCCTAAATAGATATATAATTCCATGAAGATGAGAACGGTACGGAGCAAATAGGAATAGTCTAAGCGGACTCTCAACAGAAAAATCTTCATTTTGACAGAATTCGTCACGTGTCTCGGCATTTGCGAGTTTATGTAACGAGATCATTCTTGTCAATTCTCGTCAATTTTTCTTCAAGGAGCGCCTGGATGGTACCAGAGGAAAAACATTTCTGAAGGAACGTTCGTCTCCACGAGGGAGGAGGGAAACGAAAGAGTACAGTCTTTTCTTTAGCAACGATGACGAGCGAAAGGTCCCTTAATTCCATGAGCGATATACGTTACACGTTCATTATCAAATATTATGGTTGTGAATAGGTATATCGATAATAAAGAATCCAAGCGCAAGCAGGATAAGAGTAAAAACAGAACAAGAGGAGCATCGCAAGTGTGGACGATACGAGGTTAAAACAATGTTTGCACAATGCAAGAAATGAACAAAAAAAGTTGAACGAAAGGCGTTGCGACGATAAGTCTGCATATTTCTATTTAAATAATATATTTAAGTTGCCTCGAGTCTTCTTTTCATCGACACACAGCTACATGTAACAACACGCGCACACGAATCGTGCACAGGATGAACAACGTTTATTATAGCGCGGAAAAACAACAAAAAGTGATTCTTCGCGCCTCGACATGCTTGTCGACGTGTTCGTTCCCTAATTAAAAAAAAAAAAGAATAAAGATTTCCGCGAAACATATCGCAGATTGGAAACGTTGGTACGTAATGGCAAGGATGGTCATTAAGAATAATACCCGATTATAAGAATACGTTAACCTTCCAACAATTGCGCTATTATCGTACAGAGTAATGTAGAGTACAATAGTTAAAAGGCATATTACGCTTATCTTTTGTCCAAGAGATTTCAAGTGTGCGAAGGGTTCTTAACTACATTCTTCCGTTTACGTTCTCAGAGAGATTACTTTCAACACTTTCATTGGCATCTCTAATAATTGTTTCTTGTATACAAAAATTCGTTACTACCGAATAGAGAAGTGAGTGTTCGAATTATTAAAAATCGGGGCATTCTTTAGTGACTATTCCTCATGTAATATAATACGTACTTAAGTAAGTACATTCGTTAATAGAACGCGTTGCTGATGGATAGAACGCGTCGCATCTTCGCGTCGTCGTTGACGATCGGGCCGGTCCGTTTGTCTCTCGTATCGATGAATGATTGATGCGCGTGAAGTTAAATTAAAATCGAGCCGTTACCGATTAATGAGGGAATAGGTGACACGTTTGCCGTCCCCTCGAGTGCCGCGCCAAATCAAATAGGACACGAGGGTAGAAAAAGAGAGGGCGAAGAAGAAGAAATGGATGAAGAAGAAAGAAAATAAAATGAAAAACAGACAGGGTCGGTGTATGTTAGCTACGAAAGTGGAGGTGAAAAAGAGAAGGTACACGTTAATGGAGGACGTTGTGAAAAGGAGATTGCGCGAAAAAATGTTGGTTAATTCAAAAACTCGACCTCGTCACCCAGGGCACTCTATAATAAGGTTGTGATAAGGTTGTGAGAACACGTTCCGTAGCCGTGCTACGGACACCACAAGATTTTTAATTATTAAGATAGAAGAATGAACGTTACTTTATTCGTGGCACTGTCCAAAAAACGTGGCGCGAATTCCCGTCCAAAAGGGAGGATGATCAAACCCGACGTTTGAATAGTTTTAATTGGACATTAAAGCAGACTTCGCGCGAACGAATCCATGTTTCTTTAATCTCGTTCTCATCCTATATATATATACATATAGCGTTCGAATCCTCTTTCCATCTTCACCTTTTCGTTTTATTTCTCAATATCCTAAAAACGACAAACTTCAGGTCGTGTTTTCTTCTCTCCTTACTGTGTTTTTTTTCGTTTTACGTACTTGCTCGTGCCTAATATTTTTATGACGAAGAACTTTGTTAGCTCAGCGGCGGACATTACGCGAGGGTTGGCTCAATTTAAAGCCGGATCTTAATATTCTGTTCGAGCACTCGTAAAACATAAACGGGAAGGTCGTACTTTTTTATTACACCTTTTGCATCAATTCCATGAAATTCTACTTCCGTTGATTATCACCTGATCGCGATTACAGTTGTTACTTTTTATTGTCTGTAACCTGTAATTCCAGTTTGAAAATTCTGCATTTATTTTTTTTTCAACGATACGTTTAAAAATTAACAACACAGAAAGATATAAGAAGTTCCTGTCCGTTTAACTTTGTTCGATCTCGACAATTCAAATTTGTCCTTGCGTTGACTTCTCAATAATCGGACGGATCTCGCGAATGGTCTAGTACTACCGGCTACCGATCGAACGACCGTGTGAGAGCGGTGCAAATAGAATTTCAAATTATTCGCTCCCGCGAATCCCCTTCCCTCTTGTTTTTTTTCATCACTGTCCCGATCCTCTGACCGTTTCGCGGAATTATTTCATCGCGAAACGACCCGGACGAAATCGAATTTATTCTAGCCTTTTCCGCCCTTGTTCCAGACTGATTCGACCGAGCCGGTGTGTTCCTTTCGAAGAAATTAAACTTCTGCCCTCCCGTGCTATCCAAATACTTTTCCTTCACTATTTACACAAGTTCCAATTACGTTTTAAAATTACATATACTTCGTAAATAGCATCGAGTAATTTTCATCTCTGATAAATCATCACACTCTAACGCCTTGTCTCAATCTCTTTTGGACAGAGAATTCGACAGTGCATAGATATATTATTATATTACATGATATATTAACATTAAACAAGAAAAAACATTACATTTACTTATACATCCGCATCAGCAAGTTGATTTTTCAATCGGATGAGCACCGTATCGCGGATCGTCGGGCATTGAAATACATTATTGTTCATACTCTCATCCTCCTTCTTCTGCGTCATACTTTTCTCTTCTCACATTCTTTGCAAGATCGATCGTTTTCGTATTTGTTTTGGAATGTTCTCGATCAATTCGCGCGTTTTCTCCCCGTCGCGATTCTTTGTACAAACGTTCAAAAAGTAATTGCTATTCGATCCGCGAAACTGTCTCTCCTTGTGAAGATCTTATATGTATACATATATATATATATATATATTTTATAAGATGTAATATATATTATATATATATATGTATAAGTATTATAAATTATAATGTAATTGGGCCTGGTCGCCCGATCGAAAGAAACACTACGCTAGATACCACTACACTGTCGCTCAAAAATTTGAAATCCTTTTTATTCGTAACGTTCTATTATGCTTATACATTTCTAATTATAAGTAGGTACGATTTTTATTACGATGAAGGAGCTATACTTCAGAACAAGGACCTGACATAACTGAAATTTTAATTTGTTTTCGAGATAACATTTGATAACAAGTTTTTGAGCGGCCCCGTGTACGACACAAATATATTATATACATACACACATGTAGTTATTAAACTAATACTCCATTGGTTGTGATTTACAAGTATAGCAATACAGGAGCTCGAGTCCGGCGAACCGAGTCGCTCGACCGGAGAGTTTTCCCTCTCTCTGTCACGCTATCGTAGTCTATTAGATTCAATTTTTCGACTGCAGCCTACACTTAATTTGTTACGATTTGTTCACTAATTTATTCTTGCGCTCACGCCCGGAAGTTCGAAAATAGACGAAACAAGCAGCCAAAGAGTAATAGGCAGACGTCGTTGTTTTTATAACTCTCATTGCGCCGTACCCCTCTGTGTCGTCGTGCCGTTTAGTTTTTACTCGGCATGCTTACTTTATGCATTCGTTACCGTGTGAATCCGTTAAAAAAAATATTGTCCGATAAAAGCAACGCATCGCTTCGTTCGCATCTCTGTATCGTTGACGAAATTACGCCGTCGAAAAACGTTGGTTGAGCCATAAATCAACGAAAAATATTTTTGTTTGGCTTTTCCGGATGTTAATTAAATTTATGCGTTGACACACCAGTAAAATAAATCATTAACGAGGTTAACGAAACACACAGCTGGGACCTGCATATAGTACGAAATGTAGATAAAAAAATTTCTGAAATTCACCGGCGTTCTTTTCAATCAACCGCATCGCTTTGTGGAATTCGGTTAATAAATCCTCGCGGGGTCGTTCCCAACGTCGTCGATGACGTTCGTTGACTCCCGGGAATAACATACAAACATAGGCTATACTTTATATTCTTTTCCATTGACACGCGGCTCGAATATGGTAATTGATTAATGTACGTCAAATTTTATTACACGAACGAAACAGCTTCCAGCACGGTAATCGATGGAGAGATTTTGATTAATGGAAGCTTTATTAACGCGAGACCAATTTTAATGGTTCGTTTACATGTATATAAATTGATATCGAACTGAACGGGATTTTATCGAGGGAGAAAAATGGGAGAGGAAAATGGGTCCGGTCGTGTGTCGGAGGCACGGACGATCGGGTGTTCATGTGAGCCTGCCGCTTGAGTGTGTAAATATTCAAATAAAAATTAAATGAACAAGATTACAAAACGAACAAAAATTGAAAACGCATTCGTGTACGTGTAGCGTAATGTATGCGGAGCATAGTGTGTGAATGGTTTAAAAAAAATATGTCGATGCGATTATCGATTGTCATTCCCCATCGGGGAGAACATTGTTAAAAAATCGGATGCGAGAAGAAATATCTGAATCTCGGTCTTCAGCCGAAGCGAAGGATGCACGAAGTTTCCCCAAGGATCCGTTTAATAAACGTCCTTTCGATATCGTCTATATTCAATGGTTTCTAATTAAGCAAATAAAAAATAAATAGGAAAAAACGTAGGACAACGGATGCAATGAATTTAGAAGTTCGAGATGAATCGTATTGCGATAAAAAAAAATCTCTGTTCTCTTTTTCAGTTCGCGCTGCTTCAATATCGTAAAGTGCCCTCCTCCGCGGTGAACCACTTTAATTATTTTCAAGCCGGAAAATCTCGCGTCTCTCGATTTCCATATTTCGTATTTCACGTTTCACGTGGATTAACTAACACCAGCTAACTAACACCAACTAACTAACAAGCCAACCGGCATACTAGTCCTGGTTCAATTTTACGACCTTTAACCCTTTTCCGGTGCGGTGAAAGAATAAAAAATGCGAGAAGAATATATACTGGAAACTAAATGATAAAACGCGTAAGAGTTGAGCTTCATTCTTTTTAAAATCAGGAGATTGATCCTGATAAAAGGAAACGAGAGTGCGCTACGCAGAAGAATCATTTAATATATGCTTATGTTTATTGCAACCGTGTTGCACGCGATTTCATTTACTCGTAGATAATGCATTCGCATAATCAAGTTACGTACGACATGACTTAAGACATCGAAAGCCTACATTAGACGGTTTGCTTTTGGTGTTTCTCTCATTAAACTGCGAAAGGGTTAAGCACGAATCCTGAAGCAAACACGCTAAATCCGGTGAGGTAACTCGAAAACTTAATCCGGGAACCCTTTCTTCCGCACCTTTGTCCAACGATAAACGAGCAGAGCTTAATTAAGCTCTCACCGGCTACACTACCTAGCACAATAACGCTATCTTATTTATTCGCCCGCCTCCTCGAACACTATGGAAATGTGTCCGGTATACGATCGTATCGCGTATACATCTTTAAGCTGGATATCCGTGTCGTGATTATTCCCAGAAATGAACGGGATACACATCTACAGTACACGTACCAACTGCGGGAGATAACGATATTTCTTTTAATTGCTTCGTTTTCTCTCTCCGAGTCGTGCTTTAATTACATCGGAACAAGCGAGGAATTCCTTTGAAGAAAACGAACCGAACGCGTGGAGAGTCAGGGAGATGAGTTTGAAACTATAACGTACTCATCATTATTGAAAACGGTTCTTGTTTCGAAATTTCGTGCCTCCGTCGCGCAAGCGAAAAATGAGAAAGAAATAAAAAAACACCAAAGTAAAAAAGCGATATGTTTTTACATGTATATACACACAGACCACGTACCAGTGAAACGCAGAAATCCCTTTCAAATATTTCCTGAAACCTACTCCATATATTTTCGAACCTCCCCTACCTATATACGTATGTACATCTGGTATCTCATAATCATCGTCGTATCTCGCTAATGAAAAAAATGCTAGGAGGAATTATTATTTACTAGTAATAGATTGTAATAAGTAAAACATTTTCTTTAAATTATTAGCTCTCGTCGCTATGTTTGCAACGTCTATACTATAAAAGTAAACTATCTGGTTACTTTAAGTTCCCCATCATAATTTTTACCCTTGGAAATACTCGGCGATAATTGTATTCTGCATTCTATTTATTTCCATGTTTTAGCATTAACATTGATTGTGAGCGAGATATTTCCAACGTTCCATCGCGTTTCAATCGTTCGCGGTTGCCCGCGTCACGTACGAAAATTCGAATGCGCGTAATAATGGAACTTGAAACAATAAACCACAAATCCCCTATGGACGTTACAAAACAATTCATCCGGTTATTATCATTATTCTGATTCCAGCAATCGCGACTTATCGATAAAAAAACCTCAACACCCTTTCAACGAGAAGATCAATTTTTCTGTCTAAAGCGTTCATCGAGATCATTGTTTATAAAAACAGACAGACGTTTTCAATTGTTTTACAAGTATCACCAAATGTTGTACTTGCTAAGAAAATATTTATTTATTTATGTATTTATTTCCATCAAGATACAATTTAATGTTTCATTGATCTAAAATTCAGTTAGATTCTTTAAATTAAGAAACAGGACATTTGGTTCTTCTTCACTTTTGTATGTTAATTTTTTGTTCAGACTATACATTCGCAAACACTCATGCATACGTACGTGACAGAGGATGATCGATATATATTCAGGACTCACTTGATGCGGTCTAAACCCCCATGGAGAGATTTTACAAGCGCAACGGGCACTTTACCCTGCAATTTTATTCGCTCGCTTATTCCCTCTCTTTTCGAAATGGCGACAAATCGTCCACAGGAATTGCAGTGCCCTTCTCGCGTTTCTCGCGTTTCACAATCGGCTCGCGTGTTTCACGTGGCTACGCGGATTTTCCTTTTGTGCCGGAAATAAAAGGGAGAACTGGGTTTATTCCAGCGTGTTAAACTCGTACGATCGAAATACCGTAGTTTATGAACATCATTCAAAAATTTCTGCTAAATCGTTGTATGTTAATTACAAAAATTTCTGTGCTGACTTTTATCATCAACTTTGGAATCTGCTACGATCTCCGTTTAACGTTAAAAAAGTGGTTACCGAACGAATTCACTTTATGTTCGACATTTAATGTTTGATTAGAAAAGCAAAAAGGAAGGAATTAAACGAGCAGTTTATCCGGTACGATACGAATTTGATTTTCGAATAGTTTAGTAGAAGCGAAAAAAGTTTCTGCAACGTGTACCCGTAAATCAACCCCAATCAACTTGTTGAGTATCATAAATCGTTGTCAACTCCCGTTTAGCTTACCCGCTCGCTCCCCATCGGTAAATAGCTATGTTTGCGGGTAATCAAACGAGTTTGATTAAAAGAGATTCGTCTAATCGAACTTGTTGTTTCGGTAGTAAAATCAATTCGGTCGTCGGTAATAAGGCATCCCCTTGGAGTGTTGTTCCCGGCAGCAAGTTGATTCCCGGAAATTTCATTTCATTTCAGGTTTTCTTCTAGTCGAAAACCCGTCGTGATTAATCGTGGGTTATATAAAATTAACCAGGAGCGGTCGAGGAGGGTGGAATGAATTTTTTAACGGGATCGCTAATATTTGTCGCAATCAAACAAGTTTCCGAGCTCGGCGTAGCACAAACCTGGAGTGGAAGTTGATTCGCCTTGTTTATTCTCCTTCGTTGCCCGCGGTGAACGGAAGTCCGAGAGCGCTAAGCCGACGGATTCATTTTTTCAGTATCTATTTTTAAACAACGACACGCCGTGCCGACGGTCTGCATGCGCGAGATATGCGAAGCTGAAAATGCCCGGAGGAAGAGAACAGAGCGGCGAACGAGTGCGAGGAGGAGTTGAAAAAAGGGAAAGAAGAGAGCGAGAGAGAATAGGGAAAACGAAATATGCATAGAGATGGCCACAGCCGCGTTCAATGAAAAATACATGAGTGCCCTCCGGGGGAACTTCGTTATCGAGGTAAGTTGTAAAGTCCACGCGAGAGCCGAGTGTCCGCTAATGTCTCTGATTAATGTTTTATGCATCGCGTGCTTCGTCGCTCTATTTTTTTTTTTTTGCCATTCAGGCTACTTTCCTACTGTTGGAAATCACTTCGGGACAATCGACAAATGTTCCAATTTAAACCGTACTCTCCTGTGAGTCATCATAAAATTCTCCTCATTTTCGGAACTTCACTTTCTTATAATAGAGTAATTAGTAAAAGCGCTTACGTGGTTCCATGTTTTTTAATGAGACGCTTCCTCATTTAATTCTTTATTCAATCAACGGTTCAGAATTTTACATTAGAGAGAAATTTTTCTCCTGCAAGCCTCAACTCCTACAGCACTTGCACGTATTGCTAGCTGCACGAAATGTTTGTGTCCCGGGAGAATAGATAGATGGAGAATCTTTACGACCCAACACACGGAAGATAATTGTGGATACCGAAGCGAAGGCAAACAACGCGGTCCAATTTGTCACAAAGGGGCCATAGGAAACCCCGAAGTGCCTAACAGGAACAGCCATTTGCCACTCACTGCCCTTAATAGTTCTCGAGAAAACATCTCGTACGCGAAAGTACCACACATATATGTACACATCCATACGTACGAGTTACGTGACTCCGTCAATGTAAATAGTTGGGTATGCACAAACGAACCAGTCATGCAAGAAATGTTACTATGCAGCGTCGCACCGCGCCGTGGCCCTCTTACCATTAAAAGCTACTTCCCCGAAGTGCAACGAAAATTGACTACACTTCCATGCCTGTAGATTTCCGATCGTGATAAACGAAAATTTCGGAGGCCGTCGAGTCATCGTCCGAACGAAAATTCGCCACGCGATCGAAGAATCGCAAGCTTTAGGTCGCTGTGTGCCACGCGACCAGGAGGAATAGCGAACGTGCAAATCGCGATGGGGAAACGACCGCGAAACACTTTAGCCGCCGCACCGCCGCCGCTTTCTCGCATCGCGATTTCCGTAATTAAACTTTTTACCCGAGATCTAGATAGACTCATATTAGCTGCTCTCTCATTTCGGTTCTTAATGCTATTTTAATGCCAGTTCGATACGCGCTATATGTAGATACAGCATATCAGTCATTGTCTCGCTCGAACATTCCTTTCTCTCTAATTATAATCTGTTTGAAACTAGCCAATTAATGCGAGTAAACATTAATCTAGTAAACGTGGCTTTCTTATATATCGAATGCTAATCAAGAAAGCGACTGTAAATAAGAAAATTTCCAAAGAATATAGAACTCGTATTGAGAACCTGTAAATAATGGAAGGATCGGTAACGTACGTCATACCTATTATTTTTCATTCAGGTTTAAAACAGCTAAACTGACGATATTTTCACGGATTCCAAAATGGTATTTTAAGTCTTGCCTTAACTGGAGTTCATTGAAAATGATTAATAGTTCGTATTGCGGTGGTGGAATCTGCAGAATGAACGTACAAACTGCTTCGTATATACGTACATACATAGCCGGAGACCATTAGGTACTCGCGCAGACAATATGCAATCGAAATGCAAACTACCGTTTGATTGGATGGTATACGACTTAACAGATTAGACAGCGTAGTAATGCATAGTATGTAATTTTCGACCAAACATTCTTGGTAGATCGCCCAAGTTCCAATACTGATTCGAAGTATTTAATAATACTACGATAATCGTCGATGTCGATAGTTCGATTTACTTGGTTTAGAATGGTTTCCCAGTTTCTGGCTGGCCCACTATCAAATTTCCACGTAGTAGTGTCATTCCGTTACTACAAATGATTGTATCGGTTGTGATTTTGAAAAAATAATGAAAAGTCATATTCAATTCGAGTTTGATATAATTCTTGAGTGGAACTGTCCGTGGTTTCCTTTTGTTCTTTAGAATTTCATACAACTTTTGACAAAATAAATAATGTGGAACGACGTAATATTTACTGCTGGTGCGGCGCGTTGCGTGCGCGTGTGCACAGATATCCAGAAAATAAATCGGCGATAATAGCAGTCTTTATTTCCATAATTGTTACTGGGAATAAGCATGCCACACGATATTCATATTTGATATTCGGCCGGGATATCAGATTCCTCGTCCACTGCCGTTAGTTTACCCCGTTGATATTACGTAATTTTCACAAATCATTTAGATAAGAGCTCTTACCGCATAAAGAGACTTCCATCCAAGAGGAGGAATGAATATGCATTTGTACTCATAATACCGTGTTACGCATTAAAATTAACAACATCAATTCCGTGGAGGAAACTTTGGAAATGTTCCCTGAGTTGAGCAAACGAATCTAATTTCGGTCCCACGGAACGAATAGTGTATATGTAGAAACAAAAACATGAGTTGTACGCTTAATTTTCCATCAGTTGAGAAACAACTTCTCAAATCCTAACAGAAACTGTAGCGCCAAAATCCATTATAGTACATATGTAATCACTTTTTCTCTGTAGTGTAACAGAAAAAAATATTTGTAAAAAATATGTGGGATTATAAAGTTAGCCTGTTCTGTGCGAAACGCAGTGTTTTAGTAGCCGCGAGCTTTTAAGCGCAACTCTTGCTCGTTTTTCGTTTGCGTGCTGCGTCGCCTTTTGCAACGCCACTTTGCATAAATTTCGCGCGCCACTTCGACCATCAAGGGAGCTGGCTGTCATTTGAAAGAGTTATGCGTCCCGGGATGGCTGACAAACGAACACAGCGGGTCGAAGGCAAATGAAATTCGTACGGAATCGTGTTCCAATTCATTTAACAAATTTCAATTAGCGTCACCCCAGAGTGTTCCGAAGTTG